TTCGTATTGCTTTAAAAATACTAATAAACATGTATGGATGATGGTTTTTTCCGGCTTATTGATTTCGTACTGGTGCATGCCTAAATCGCTACTAATTATCATTCAGAACATATTCTTCGCTCTATCGATAAGATTGTTCCTACTCTCATTCACAATCATATTTATTTTATTATAATTTTTTTTGATTGGGGTGTGGGTGTGGGTGGGGGTGGGGGTGGGTGTGGGGTGTGGGTGTGGGTGTGGGTGTGGGTGTGGGTGTGTGGGTGTGGGTGTGGGTGAGGGTGGGTGTGGGTATGGGCGTGGGTGTAGGTCAAGATATAAAACTCATACCCACACCCACCCACACCCCACACCCACAACCACACCCACACCCACACTCTTTCAAAAATGTTAAACTTGGTCAATGCAACAAGCAAAGATGTAATCAACAATTCAGTCAACAATAAAAAGATTTGAATCTGTGTGGGTGTTGACTCTTTCGCTTTATTTGATAAATATTCATCTCGATGTGGATTCTCATAGGTGGATGTGTCTGGATTCGATCATTCCCACGATCCGATCAATACAATGTTCAGGTTTCACACAACTCAGCTAATATAAGCTGTAATTTTTTTGTTTTAAAACTTTCCATGTTTTTCACAATCAATCATGACTGTCACCAAGTCATGTACAATTGAGTGCAAAACAACCAGTATCACTATTTGAAAAATTTTAGACTAGTTGGTATTCAAGAATTTCGGATTCAGCGAATCTGAAATTCCGAAAGCTTGTCTAAAAATTACGACAGATAGCAAAAACAAATATAGATCATGTGAAATGAGCAGAAATTGAAGGTCAGGTGTGTGAAGCTCCTGGCATGAGTATGGATCCATGACACAACGTCTACACACGCATATCTATACATACTTACATTCGTATAATTGTTCGATTTTTCAAAAGCAGCTGTTGTAATTTTCGAATTTTTCATTTCAGCAAATTATAGTATTGATGTTATTTCTATGACATGCGTCTGAGTTTGGGATGTTGTATATATTCACTTTGACAGGCGAATTTAGATGCAATATGTGTATTAGTACGGATATAGGACTGCTGCATACTAATTATGTCCAGACAAAATCACATGTGTGTTTATAACTGCAAGTGAATTGTTTCTGTTTTGAACACGAATTCAAACTTTATTTCAAGAATGAAAACAATCGATTATAGAAAAGAACGAAAGAAGCAAGTATAAGAAAAAAACGCCAAATACGAGTATGATTCTTGAAATAGCAAAGCACACATTATATATGTATATATAAAATGGCAATAATAAGATGAACTATTCCTAATTATTAAAAAGGACAAAACAAAATATTCAAATATACAGTTCTTCATCGAGAATAAATCCTTAATATTTAGAATAGGTGTACATGTTTTTAATAAACAATGCAGCCACTTTAAATCGAATCATAGTCTTGTAAATTTAACTACTCTTCTATTATTGGTATCGAGCACATATAAATTAAGACTTCAGTCAAATGCAACGGCAATTAGACTACCAATCACAGGCGTTGCACTGCTACTATCGACAATCACAATACCGTCTGTTGAGTTGGTACAGTACATGACCACCCAATTATCACTCCTATCAGCAACATATAGATTTCCATATGAGTCAAAAGCCATACCTCTCGGCTTTGAAAGTGTAGATGTAGAACTATATACGTTCGCTAGAGTTAATGTTGGAGTGCTTGCACCAAATGTCCATAAATATATAACACCGTTGATTTCATTACTTATATATACTTGATTTGATGAAGTCGGAGATAATAAGAAGTCATATGCGTTCGACAACAAACTATTACTAATCATACTAGTTCCACTTGTTGCGTTTGGACCCCATTTTACTATTCGTCTGTTACCTCTGTCAAGAACGTAGACATTAGAATTTTCATCAACATCAATCGCCACTGGGTCACTCAAATCAGTCAGTGCACTTGTTGATTGAGATGTAGTTCCAGCAACAGTAGTACCAATGGTAGAATTAGGAAGAAAACGTTGCACACGATTATTACCATTATCGGCTACATACATAAATCCATTTGTGTCAAAAGTAAGATCGTCAGGATTCCTGAGCAATATCGAACTTGAACCGGCAGCACCAGTAGCACTGCCAGCTACAGTCACACCAGCTGATGCGTTTGGACTCCATTGTTCAACATGATCCTTAAGTCTATCAGAAACGTACTGATTATCATTGCCGTCAAAGTACAAAGAAGTTGGATTATCAAAATGATCAGCAACAATCACACCTGTTTGGTTCCAATACAAATTGTTACCTAAAATAATCAACGAAATTTTAATAGCTACTATGATCTATCATTATATGACTAATAACTGCCAGTAGTAGTTGAACTTGTTGCTGAATAGAAGAAGAAAAAAAAACATATTATGATTGATGAATTTAACTTGAAAACATACTAGGACTGGAGATAAAAGATGTTGTTGTGACTGTTGTCGTTGAAACTGAAGTGGTTGCTTTAATAAATAAGGAAATTTATATATTTCGTTATTCAGTATGAACAAAAAACTGATTTTTCATACTTGTCGTTGTGCTAGTAATTGTCGAAGTACTACTTGTTGATGTTGTTGTACTTGAACTTGTTGATGTCGTTGTTGAGGTCGTTGTCGCTGTTGTTGTCGTTATCGTTGTTAAGGATGTTGTTGTGGTGGTTGTTTTAGTCGTCACAACTGTTAGTGCAGCCACTAGAAATATTACTCTGTACTTGACTAAGTCAAATCGTAACAGGGACTATCTTTGGTTTGCTTATTGTGCTCTATTTTGATAGGTTTTCAATGAATACGTTATTGGTGATAAAGACATGGGAAAGTTTAGATAGGTCTCCGTATACATGGATAACCAACATAAATATGACATTGAGATCTAAGGATCTGAAAGAATTTAACGTAACATAGTGAATTGTAGTTATTTGAGTTTCAATCATTCTTATTATGATTAAAAATTTGAAATTCAAAGCAGAATGAAGAAAAAACTAAATCAAGCAAAGGAAATTAAATTCAATGAGTTTTTTTTCACATAGTGACTGTAAACATTGCTTTTCTTTAACGACATATTTCACGTATTGATAACAAGAAGGATTGAATGTGTTTCGTATTTCTATTAGAAATATATTAAATGCATCTTGATGAAATTTGTATTAAAGATTTTTCTTCTTTAAATACGGCTCTCATCAAAACTTATTNATTATTCTGCAACAAAATCAAAATTTTAATCGATTGAAATCAATGTTACCAATCCACCTCAATCGATTAAAAATATAATTTAATCGATTGAGGTGGATTGGTAACATTGATTTCAATCGATTAAAATTTTGATTTTGTTGCAGAATAATCCGATTATCAATTTCGATTACGCCCATAGGATTTTTGAATTTTAATCGATTTTAATCCCTAAAATTTTTCACTGGGGTTTTGTTGGATCACATAATTGTATGGTTGGTTCTGTTATTAATGGATTATGTTGAACGAATGTTTGTCTTTGTAAATTAGTTGATTGATGTTGTTGTAAAGAAACCGATAAAATTTGATTCAGAGATTTTTGTTCTTGTTGTACTGGTGAAACAATAACTAATGGTGGTGAAACAGGAGGCGGTGAGTAAGCCTGTAATTGTGGTACAGGTGATTGATTCCGGTGACCTGAATGTAGTGGAGATGAACGTGTTTGTGTAAGCACTGGTGGCACTGAGATTCTTAAAGATGATGATGCACATGTTGTCGATAGTTGTTGTAGTTGTGCCGTTGCATACGTGATTTGTTGAGGATATAATTGCTGTAGTGCTGTTGTTGATGTTGTGGCACCTGTATGTGAATATGCTGGAGAAGGTAGTGGTTGAAGTGTTGGTAAAACACTCAAATTTTGCATCATTCGTAACGATAATATTAAATCCCATTCATTGGGCAATAAAGTTTGTGACTGAGGTTGATATGGATATAGACAATGATACTTTTGTTCAGATGTCGGTGCAGCATTATACAATGTTGATTGTGGTGGTGGTGCAGCATTATACATTGTTGATTGAGGTGATGGTGCAGCATTATACAATGTTGATTGTGGTGGTGGTGCAGCATTATACATTGTTGATTGAGATGATGGTGCAATATTATGCAATGATGATGAAGATGGTGTATGAAGTGTTGACGATATTTGACTCTGAAAAATTGGATGATGATGACATAATGGTGTTGATGATGTATTTGGCGACAACGAAGGAATCGAAGTGTCGAACGGCATTACATTATTATTGGTGAACATTATAAAGAAGAAATGAAACGTATAATCTACAGTGAAAGACAGAAAGAAATATAGATAATATTTCTCGTGACCAGAATCAAATATTTCAACAAATCAAGAATTAATAGATACATATTTCCATGAAGATACAGTTGTAGTATGCAATTTATCCATTTAGATACTCATCCTCAATATTGAATGTAAAAGAAAAGTCTATTTAATACGACATAAATAAAAGTAACGATATTTGCTTTATAAACCGTAGAAACCTAGTTAAAAAAACAGCTGCTACGCCACAAAATATTTCGGAATTTCTCACGATTTCTGGAACTGATTGATACAAAAGAACTTATTGTATTGTTTTCTATTCCATCCGACACAAAATTTGAAAACATTCTTGTTAAGAATGTTTTGGTACAAATGGTGGCAATTTTTTGTTTCACTATTTTAAACCAGAGTGAACTATGAGTCTTTTATGTTATTGTTATGTTCTCGTGATCACTAACTTACTTTCCTTTACCATTTTCAATACAGCTGAATGTATAATAGTTTTTTATTTTCACATGAGAAGAAAAAATATAACCATTGTATCAAGCAAAAGAGTACTTCGCATAGTGACAAGCTTGACACAAACAAATATCTAACTGCAAGAAAAAAAAATATAACAAACGAAAAACATGAGAAAGAAGAAAAACAAATCAAAATTAAATTATTATAGTTCTGCTCTATTTTGGACTTTGTTTATCAAGTTCTATTATTTTATTCAATCATTCTAATTATTTTTTTCTGATGTGATTGTGGATAATACTTTATTTGATATTTTAGGAATTTTTCCTAGTTTGTTTGTTAAGATTTTATAGGTTTTTGTTTCAAATTTTTCATTATTATTCATTTTTTTTCGTTTTGGTGAAATTATGGATGTTGCTGTACTTGTATCTTCATCATTTTCTTTCCGTTTAGATGGTGAGACAACAGATAATTGTGTTTGTTTTTGTTTCGTCTTCGAGCGCAACCGGAACGAGCGTCTTTTAGAACTATAACTGGAAGATAATACCAAATACATAAGAACAGATTTGAAGCTACTAATAAATGTAATCTTACTCTTTTGACTTGACATTATCAGCAATAACCTTTTTCGTACGGACTACTTTTTGTTTTCGTTGTGATGATATAACTTGTCGTTGTTTGGGAGATGAAGTTTTGATCGAATTATCAGTATTCAGACGCGATGGTGATGCTGATCGATTTCTCGTTTCAATCGTAATACTCGAATCAGTTTTACCAGCAATTGGAGAACAACTGTATTCAACCTACAAGTAATTACATATAGTCCTATTTCTGGTTACCAGAAACTACGTTTTTTAAAGTCTAGAACACTAAAATTAAGACATTTCTCACTTGTTCTTCAATTACTCTTGAGACAATACCATCATTACTACTATAGTCATTCTCATCGATGGCAACTCGTTTTAAATGATTGTTTTGTGGCGAAATGCTACCATTAGCAATCGATTCTTCACCAGATACACTACTATCAGTCAGAATAGTATTTCTCTTAACATAACCTTGAAAGTTATTGTTGTCTTTCTATAGAAAAGATAAAAATTATGTCTGCAAATCATATCATCATTTTAGAGAACGGCAAAAGGCATACTTCTGAATCATTAATATTTGATTGTTTGTTTACTTGTTTATCAATTGCGATGATACCATTGTGACCTAATTTTTCCTGTTTCAATGATGGGAGAACAAAAGTGCACGAAAGTAATCGTTAAAAATGAATTTAGAAGCAGTCAGTACTCACATCATTAATTCCCATTGCTTCATTATCATCTGCAGTAATAAACTCTTCCGAATGTTTATCTTCCATCATTTCAATAGACTTATAATAAAAACAACAAAATGATTAGAATGTTTTTCTAGGATACATGGAATTTAACCATGATGCACTTCATTAACAACTTACTAATTTTTCTTTTTGTTTACTGCCATTAACGTGAACACCTTTTTTCTATTCAATATAAGAATGAAAAAATTTCAATACTCGTGACGAGAATTACAAAAAATAAGCGCTTACCTTTTTATTTTCTCTTTCAACACATTTCACCATTATTCTTTTTGGAATTGGTATTGTTTTGGTCGGCTGAACTTCACTTAACTCATAATCATCTCCATAATATTCAAAAACTCTGTTAACAAAGAATAATATAAAATAAAACATCAAATAGTGAAAAATATCATTTACGGTCTTTGTTGTATGGGTGATATGAAATGAGGATTGCAAACTATATCGACACTATCAGCAATCATCTGGACAACAGCACATGCTCTGTCCTTCGTCATCTCGACGTTTTGTACGTCAAATAGTGCCTTCAATTGCACCCCAGATAATAAAGTTCCATGTTCACGTGCGTAACTAAGAACACTGGTTGCACATTCACGTACTTCTTGCTTTTTGTCATATAGCATATATAAACCGCCTATTTGAAACCATCCATTAGTAAGAGTATGGATTTTTTCAGAAAAACTTTTGATAATTATCTACTTACAATTTTTTGACCCGCCTTTCCAATTGATAGAACGTCTTTTATGACCATCAGTTGAAACTAAGCAAAATATATGAAAAATTAGCTCCCACTTCTGGTTACCAGTTTTGAGAATAAAGGATATAAAAACAAGGGTGGACTGTAATAACATACCGTTTTTACGGGATGTTTCTTCTCCAACATCATCTTCTTTACCCGATACATTTGTTCGATTATAAATTGATTCATCTATACGACTACCAATGTTTTCAACATCTAAAAGTATAATTGTATAATTTTTGTTTGTGATGAACAGAAATAAATGTCCCATCAAATGCATTATATGAGGGTATCTTTTCCAGAATTATCCGACTGTTTTTTATCGTTATTCAACATTCACAGACTCTGGATGTTTTTTGTAACTTGTATACAACCTTGAATCCTATAAAAAGTTGTTATATCAGGAGCCAAACCTTATTTTTCAAGAAAAACCAGAAAAATAATTCTTTATTGTCATATTATTTCGCATAGAAACAAAAGAGGTTCTCTCCAAATTCAACATACTGTTATAGTGCTGCTCAATCATTTCTTTTTTCATTCTTTTGTCTCCTCTGTTATATCATACAAATGACAGGTACGACATATCTGTATATATATCTTTGCCTCTTTCGTTCACCTTTGATATTTTCTAACTGTTCCTTTCCCTGTATGTTATGTGATTTTTCCCTTGCGCTCATAGTTATTTCCAAACCCATTTGGAATTTTCTTAACTCGTTCATCTATGCATAGTAAACCTTTTTCAAAAGAAAATGAAGACGTTTGTTATCGATCAGTAAGATTGATTCATTCGCTAACACATACAAACAAAATTTATCATTTACATACCGATTAGAATTCTTTTTTTCCGATTTCTTGATGTTTTATTTTTCAGTACTTCGTCGACATATAAAAATAAATTTCCATTTTTGAGTAAAATTTGTTGTGTAATAGTTGTTTTTGATGCATTGGCTTTAAACAAAATTGTCGAATTACGAGATTTCAATCTATTGCCACGATAGAATTGATTGATTTTTTTCTTGAACTCATTTGTCCCTTTAATACCTGGAAATATGCAACTATTGTTGCAGTACGAGGACAAATGTTCTAGAATATGATTTTCCAAATCAACTAAAAAAGACAAAAACAAAGTCAGCAATAAAAGCGATCTAATATGCTTTAGTTCTTAATATTCTGATCAACAGCAATAGGATCAATATGAAAATGACGATCATTACAAAATATTTGAGCATATTTAGCTGATCAAGAAAAGAAGCATAAGTGTATTTTCTGGTGACCAGAAATATTTTAACTGGAAAGATGAAGATCATTAGAACGTATTTTAAGACATTTAGCTGATCATAACAAGAAATATAACCATATTTTCTGGTTACCTGAACTGAAATAAATACGAAAATAAATACCGATAGAAGAGACTCGGAGTAACTAGTCTCATGAAGAAATAGAATAAAGTGTTACTGTTTTGGTCACCAGAAATAAAAGTTATGAAAGTGAATTTGCTGTGATTAATCTGGTCCATAGAAGTTGAGTTATGGAAAATAAGACAGATTATCTACTAACTTTGACTGCTGATTTTTTTCTTATATAAAGTTAAACACGGTGTTTGTAAAAATTGGTCAGTTCCACCGCTTTCTTGAATACAAGTTTCAAGATCGTATTCTGCTTCTATATCAGTACAATCATCGGTGCTTTCTTGATCATTATTTGATTTGATAATTATTGCCTTGGACTTGGACTTAGTCTTTTTCGTTATCATTTGTTGTTCTGTTGAGATGGTTGTGATGGAACACAATTTGTTTTGCTTGGATAAAGTTGATGATGATGAATATTGAATAGTTGGAGACGATGAAGATTGAATAGCTGAAGATGGTGTTGGATTTATATCAGTATTTGGTGTTGTTGGTGGTAACGTTTCATCTGAATCTAATGAAGATGATAACGTGGTGCTGTTTGACGGTTTCAATGCTAATGGTAATCTGGTTTTATTAATATTCGATACCATTGTTATTTGTTGTGTTACTCTTTGAATTTAAAATTTATTGTTACGATGACAATTATTAAAAGCTATTAAAGAAATATAAAATAATGAGTCTGAAAAAAATAAATTGCGGGTGAAATGTTTTTCCGTTCTTTGAGATTCTGATGACCAGAATTAAAAAATGAAGTTATGAACAGATGATTTCGAGACGATTACAATAGGCAAAATTCAAGGGAGATATACAAATACACCTCATTCAGCGATATTTGTTCTCGATAGGGCATAGACTTATAAAATAAGGTTTGTTTTCAAAAAAAAGTCTGTGTCTACATCGTAATATCGCAAAGCAATATCAGCATTACAAATATATCATATTCTTGTAAGCAACTTAAGACTCTTGTGCAAGTAAGATTGATTACAAGACATTCAATAGAGAAAAAGCTTTGGAAAAGCATAAACTTACGCAGTAATACTAAACAAACTAATTCTTGTCACCAGAAGAAAAACGCAAAGAATACATTGTACTGGAAGTTAGTAATGTTATAAATGTGTATGACTGAAAAGTTTATTTTTCAAGTATTTATACGTGCTGCGCGGTCGTCTAACTATCTTTCTATTTATTAGACTATTTTCTAGTAAATAATGTTTTTGTTCAGCGTCGTCGAAACAGAATAGTCACAATAGATTATTTTCTGGTCATCAACACGCATTATTGATATCTAATCCATAGATTAGACCACGCTTTTATTTCAACTCAGATAAAATTTGTGTTATGATTTTAATTTCAAGTTGAAAGCTTCAGTTCTTGGAAACACGTGTTTCTACAGAATATATTTGTTTTCGTAGACTGCACGCTGACAACACATCGTTTTTATTTTCGATTTGCGTAATGTGTAAAGAACAGGAAAAAAATGAAATTGAAACTTATAAAAAAGCTAATGAAAAGATTAAGTATAATGCGCTTCTGGTGACCAGAGTAGATTTAATGAGAAAAATACCTTTGTTAAGATCCTTGGTGTACGTACTACAACACTTCCAGGAATGTCCATCATTTGCCCTAAATTTTTCTCCCAGATTCGATCCTACATCTGGTCCCTGTTTAAGGACCATTAAACAATTACGATCAAATCTGGTGACCAGATTGAAGAATACAACCTAGATTCGAAATTGCATATAGTTCTTATTCTAATGTAAAGCATTGTGATGTTATATCTGGTGACCAGATTTAAAAGTACAACTAAAATTCAAAAGAGCATAAAGTTCTTATTCTTATATAAAGCATTGTGAAGTTATATCTGGTGACCAGATTGAAGAGTAGTACCTAGTTTGAAAATAGCATATAGTACTTATTCTAATGAAAAGCATTGTGATGTTATATCTGGTGGCCAGATTTAAAAATAGAACCAAAATTCAAAAGAACATAAAGTTCTTATTCTTACATAAAGCATTGTGATATTATATCTGGTGACCAGATTTAAAAGTACAACTAAAATTCAAAAGAGCATAAAGTTCTTATTCCTATATAAAGCATTGTGATGTTATATCTGGTGACCAGATTGAAGAGTAGTACCTAGTTTGAAAATAGCATATAGTACTTATTCGAATGTAAAGCATTGTGATGTCAAATGTGCTGACCAGATTCATAAAACGTAGTTGTTATTGTAATGTAAAGCGTTCGAGTGTGAAATCCGATGGCTAGATTGAAAACACCATACAGACGTTTAACTTGTTATCCTTTTTTGCCGTCACATCTCGTGAATCTGTCTGTGTAATTCATTTAGAAATTTAATCTGAGATTCTGTTTTAAGGTAAGTGTCGCTCAAGTCTAATTGAGATCAAGCAGTGTGTCAAAAAAGAGCAAAAACTTCATACTGACAGCACAGTTAATTTTGCAAATAGAACCTGTGACTGCATTTTAATAGTATTGTGGAGACTAGAGAGAAATTTTCCATTATTATGAGATTGTGACGAAAATATTTGGTCTGCTTGAAAAGTCGGTCTTAATTTTTATCTACAAATGTGTTGTTTTTGAATTTGTGAAATATTATTTGAAAAACGATTGATGATGCTGCTAGCGAAGCGTGACATATAGTAAAGAAAAGGGATTAATAATATGAAAAGGAACAAAACTTTTGACGGTAAAATACAAAATTCATGTGTTTCACAAAACCCAAAATATCATAAGTAAGAAAATTGAAGTTGAAATGCGTATGCCAATAACTATAGACAATGAATACAAAATGATTCTGGTGACCAGAAAGTGGTTGGCAATACTAGAGTTTTCGCCATAATATTTGGTTTCATCGATAAAACATTTCAACACGGTACGGGATGATGTTGAATTGTATTCTATATGGTGTAGTATGTATTTAAGAAAAAGACTCCCTACATCGAATAGTGTTTAAATAAAAGTACCTATTTGGTCACCAGGATTGACCATAATTGCTTAATTGTTCGTAAATGTGGACCGACATAGGGACGAACCTTGAAACCAAAATTTAGGGCAAATGGTAACCTGCCATTTCTAGTATGGTAGAAGCGGGATGCAATTGATGATAATATGTACTGAATGTGTTATATTAAAAAAAATCCTTAAATTAAAATCCCTAATTGGTCACCAGTATGAGCGTTAATTGATTTTTTTTTCCACAAATGTGGATTTTATTTAGGGATGAATTCAGGGAACCTGATTTGTGGAAAATGATAACCTACCCTTTTCTATCAAGAATGAATGAAGAAAAAATATAAATATTTGAGTTTTTCATGCTTATGCTTCACTATGTGCTTTTTGCTATAGTATTCTCCTGTACTTCAAAACTATTGTTTGATTGTAAGAATGACATTAACATTTACCATGAACAGAACTTATTCAAAAACTATTTAATTACAGTTGTTGTTAGCGGGCAAATGTCAGATGCGAAACTGAATAATAAATTGCATGATGTATCGATACATGAACAAAAAAACTTCTTGAAACTTAACGGAGCTGTTCGTTGTTTAACTACAGTAAATTCCAAGTATCATGATGATCTACCTTCCTGTTAAACAGAATCAACTGGTTCATGTCTCGTACTAATTGTTTTTTTTTCGTTCTGTTGTAATCATATCTAGTTCTTGCCTCTGACTGCTTGACAATAAAATTGTTATTTTCGTCATGTTTGGATATATTTATTTTCTACAGCATACATGTAACTCCGAATACCGATGAACGACATTTTTGTTCACCGCCTTTTCAATATATTAGATGATATAAATGTTTAATAATATTGCTTATCTAATGATGGTCGATATTTATAATATCGTAAACTTATTTAACACACTTGTGCGTGAAAAATATTCGAAAACAACTCATCAAGAATCGTCTTCTAAAGATTGCGTACTGGCAGATCAGTTATTTCTAGTATTTGATCAATTAATAAATTCAGCTGATACTTTCGTGGATAATATTATCACCTTAGATTTTGATGAATATGATGATGATAATGAAGACTATCAACAACCAAACCGAAATGATATTCCATCTAATATTGAAAATTTAAATTATTCTTATGATGTGATATATGCTTTTTTTTAATATACGAAAAGTTATACTTTTGCATCATTACGTAATTGATACAGAAAATAAAACATAAAGAACAATTGCGTCGAGTAAAACAATATATAAAAGCCCAAGGTACAAGAGCTCAAAAACTTCGACATATTGATAGTTTCGTTTATAAGGAACTTTATTATATTAGAGAATGTCGTCTACCAGTTCGTGATTCTGATTTAAGACGGCTTGCCATAAAAAAAAGGCTAATAATTTAAATTTGAATGGTTTTACAGCATCTCACCATTGGATATCAGATTTTAAACATCGTCATCATATCTCATCAAGAAAAATAACAAAATTAATAACAATAATGAAAAGCGCTAGATTTCTCTTACTTGTATCTCTGAATCTTTTAAAATTATTGGAGCCAATAAGTTTTGAATCAGAATTAGATTTTCTCGAATATAGCGCTTGGGCATCCTGAGAATAGACCAACGAAAAGAAGTAACCAATGAAAAGATATTTATTGCTTCTTTCAATTATGAAAATCAATCCATAGATAAGAACTCTTGCACAGACAAGTAAAAAAACAACTGCAGTACAAGTGAAATCGATGAACGCAACTGCCCACCCATATACAATTATGCTGATCATAAATATGGCAGAAAATTTAATTGGTCCGGTATTTATATGCCTCCAAGAAACATCAGGAAAATTAGGACCCTGTGTTAAACAATCAATTTATAAAGCTAACAAGATTTATGTTACTTGTAACAAGTCAGGAAAGTTAACTACAACACATATTCATTACTGAGCGGAAAACGTTTTAGGTCCATTAGTTTCTGAAAATTGTTTGTCGCTATTAGACTTCTGTTTCGGTCACACTGATGCTGCTACGCATTATGATATTTTTACAGGTAAAATAAGATGCAAGCGAATGCAAATTGCACTAAAAAAGACCGGTGCTATACAACGATTAGATCGTTATTTTTTTCGACGATGGAAAAATTTTAAACAAAAAATTTGTGAGCGAGTGACAATAGGTTAAATTCAGAGTGATATTTGCTCTAGAAACAATCTATTAGATATGCGTTCGTGAATATACAGCCAACTATGAGCAGAGCAATTTTTCCGTATAAGCAGGTATCCTTGGTATGCAAATTGGTATTCATCAAAAAATCTCGCTCATTTTAAAAATGTACAGGATGTGTTTCTCCTTTGCTAAAGCTTTTGTTCGGTACCTGCGTGCAATAATTTTTCCTTTATTTGCTGTAGTCACTGTAAACATATTCTATATTTCAATCATCTTTTGTAACCGATCATAAGCGTTGAAAAAATTCTGTTCATTGTTGTCATAGAAATACAGCTACCTTCTGGACTAATTCTACATCCAATAATATGATTTCTGAATAAGTTCTATTCATGGTAAATGTTAATGTCATTCTTACAATCAAACAATAGTTTTGAAGTACAGGAGAATACTATAGCAAAAAGCACATAGTGAAGCATAAGCATGAAAAACTCAAATATTTATATTTTTTCTTCATTCATTCTTGATAGAAAAGTAAAGAACCTGTCAGTTTATATAACTACACTCTTTTCACAAAGTAGATTATGGTCTTATTTTAATTATTATATGTGAAGAAGATAATAGTTTCTTATAAGCTAGCACACAGTTGTGTATACATGATAACTATACAAAAAATATTTTGTCTATAGTTTTTTTCTGAAGTAGCCTCAGTAGGTAAACTTTTCAGATCTCAGATCCAAGTACTTGATTTAGCAAACCCATGCACTTTTTATGAAGAAACTCGGAGAGATAGTCAGGAATCTTTACCTGGAAAATCGATTGATATCGTATTTCTTCTTAATTTGTGGCCATGCCATATTCTTATTTGAATGCAATTTTGCTATTACTGCCATTGCTGAGGTCGCCAATTGAAGGGCTCATCAGGTTTATATAAGTAAAATCATCATGAGCACAAGAGGACAAGCGAAAATTATATTGGAAAAACTGCTTTACATGCGATTTCTTTTATTTAATTTTCTATTTCAGATAATATAGACTACTGACTATTTTCTTTGGGTCGTTTTCCAGTACTTAGTTTTGATCGTCCATTCGATCCACTAGCTCAGTCGTCTTGTAAGTGTGACAATTGTCATATTTAATAGAACAAACACAACAAAAGTGAGCTTATGATTGAAAAAATTTCTTGTTAGATTTCTTCTTATGCCAATGATAAAGATTTTGAAATTCGAGAAGTCGAGTGAAAACTGTACTTAGCATGACAAAGTAGCATACGGGATATTCCATGGACTCTCTTAGACAAAATTCACATGCGCTTTCAAATTGCACGAGACTTCCAGAGTTTGTAGACAATGATTATCTAAGATTATTTGTAAGACTAGTGTTTTTAGATTACATTAAAAAACACAACCATATAAAAGATGATATTTTTAGGATTTTTCTATAAATCACAAAAATCAGAATTTTTTTCAAAAACTGTATCTACCGATTAAAATGTAAACAACACTAATTACATGTACATATTATATATATATATCAATTGATTGCTGTTAGTGTTGGCTATATCTTGAGTATAGCAGACTATACTCCTCTTACCACATTAGTTACATGACTTTTTAATTTATATGATATACCCTCTAAGTTGTAGTGTGCTCTCGTTTGACTAAAACAAAGGTTCGGAAGAGCGGAACTCTCAAGCATAGCCATATATAAAGTTTTGTAGTGTCACTTGCTCTGCAACATACAGTAAAGCTTAGCTTTCACTTTTTTCCATCTTACAAACATCTGAAATTGAGCTAAATCTGACGACCTCGACTGAGCAAGCTCCACCATGAGTTACATGTATTGGCTCGCATATCTTAAGAAAATTGGGGTGTTTTATATTTCTCTATTTTTGCATTTTGTAAGATGAAAAAAAGCGAAAGCTCGACTCTTGTGCATGTTTCAGGGCAAGTGATACTCTACAAAACTTTATATATGGTTATGCTTGGGAGTTCCGCTCTTCCGAGCCTTTGTTTTAGTCAAACGAGAGCACACTACAACTTAGAGGGTATATCATATAAATTAAAAAGTCNGTTCTGCTTTATACAGGAAGATTGTTATTCATATTTCTTATTATTAATTTTTTATTTCCAACAGCTCCTGAATTACCATTATTTTACTATTGGCATTATGATGGTATTATCGATGGTCTTTGTAAATCATGGCCAATCTTTATTTTGGATTTTCTTGTTAATCTGTTATTCCTTCTAAAAAATGATCAGAGTACTTTGGATTCTGATAGCTTTTACAGAAACTATTCAAATGAAACATCAACATTATTCAAATGTTTGATTGATATTTTATTAGTCAGTATCAGAGAAGAAATTCTATATCGATGGCTATTTTTTTTTATTCAAATATTATTATAATGAAAATAATAAATTTTTGTTCGCTTGGTATAATGCACTGGTTCTATTTAAATATTAAAGCACATTTGTTAAACTGGATTTCATTTAAGAAATTAGAATGGTTATTATATGATCAGACTCATTGGTCGATTGGATGTGGTGCCCTTGTAGCAAATGCTGCTTTTCGTAAACAGAATATCTACCTTGAACTAATTGTCTATGTAAATTCATGGTATTTTTCAAAATTAAAGAGTACCAAAACTCACATTGAAGAAAAGCTAACGGTGTTTGAAAATTCATTTTATTTCTGTTTGAGGAACGATCTGTTTTTTTCTCACTAAATTTTATAGGAGAAAGTCTGAAGCATTCTGATGAAATGTGAATAATTTTTTTTTGTTGAGACTGCTTTCTTCAATGTTGTTTTCAGATCGTTCCTAGGTTATTGAGACCAAAATTAAGTCTTCACGGGCGAACTAACAAACTTAAAATATAGGCTACCCTTGATGTGCAACGATCGAGATATTCGAATTTTAAGGTTTTCACAGTATATGTGAGGTGCTTGCAATTCAACAATTTCAGCAGAGTTTTGTTTTTCTCTTTTTAGTGATGGTTGAATAGAGCTCATCAAACTATATACGAAGAAATATGCTTCAAATAAAAAATAAGCATTTCACGAAAAATGTCCCAAATATTATCATCTTCAAATATAAGAGAAGATAGAATTCAATTTCTAACTTTTATAGAATAAAATTTGTTTTTTTTTTCAATTTGAAACTTGTTTTTCTAATGCAACTCAATCAACTCAATCCAACCAACATGAAAAAAAAAAGAAAATCAAACTCGGATGAAATTGTTGAATTGCAAGCACCTCACACATACTGTGAATACCTTAAAATTCGAATATCTCGGTTGATGTACGTGAAGGATGGTTTATATTTTAAATTTGTCATTTTGAAATTGAAAGTCCTAATTTGACTCAAATATGTCTACTCTTATTAACTAACAACACGAACACTTCGATTACCAGTTGATTAAGTTTTTTTTCAAGAAAAACTTAAGTTCAAAGAACAATGATCAAAGTCTACAAGACTAACTATGGCCGCGTATGCTTATCGATATATAGTCTCAAAAATTGATTTCGTTGCTGATTAAATCTCTAAAACTAATCGTCTTCAATTTTGACAGGTCTTACGTCTCACAGTTTCTCCAATGTAAAACGCAAGTGGAAGATAACTGAAATTAGATTTTTGCTTCGATACAAAATTGACGACAAGTAGAAAAAAGACCAGTTTTTTTCAACCTCGTGATAACATTTATTTATTCATGGATAGCAATATTAATTGTATATAAACGACACGGTAAAACACAACTATAAAAGTACATTATCTGATTTTTTTTCGAAAGAATTCACATAACATCGGTAGACATCTTTTTTGAAAATTGTCACCCTTCGCTAAAATCCTGGATTCGCCATTAATATTCAAATATAATGGATTATTTGTTTGTGGCAGTTTTTCATCATTATGTTTGTTCTAATCTAGACCATGTTAATGCCTTTTCCATTGAAATCTATTCATAACAAAAATAATTCACTCAAAACATAATCAATCAGTGAGAAGTTATCAATTAGTTCATCACTCGATTCCGATGATATAATCGAACTAGAGTATTCAATAATATCAAGTAAATCAATAAATGTTGGTGTTGTATCATCATTACCATTATTCATATTTAAATGACGTTCAACAATATTAATAGCTGTTTGTGTTATTTGATCAGTATTTTGTTGTATTTTGTAATTCTTCAGAAAAATCAATATTTAAATGAAATGTATTTGATGTTTCAATAGATGAATAATTTTCATTAAAAGCTGACCGTCGAATGATTGAATTAGCTTGTGCTTGAATTTTATCGAGAACTGAATCAATATTATTAAGAATTGAATGAATTTGTGTTACTATCATTGATTGAATGGGTATAGATGATTGACGAATAATTGGCTGTTTTACAAGTATTATTGATGATGGTAGTGGTGGTGATTTAGTAATTAGTGATGTTGATAAAGACATTGATGTTGGTTGAAATTGTAAATCATCATCAATAGGATGAAATTTTTTTCCGTTCAATATTATCAGTTATAGAATGAACTTCATTAATCAATTGTTTATTTGTTAATTCTTGATTAAGAGTCAAGGTGGCTGTTTCGTAGGAAAATGAAAGTATACTTTTCGATGAATAAAATAGAACAACATATAATCTGATTTATAAGAGATTCAAAGACATGAAAGTCTTTGTTCTTCTTATTAGCATTTGTCGAAAACGCCACTACTAAAGATTAGGATCCTTTGATTGTTGTGAATTAAAAACATAAGAAGAAAACATCTATGAGAAAATTATATATATAATCTGAAATTGTATTTTTCACTCTACTGATTCGTAGAAAAAAAAACTCTTTTCCCTTTTATCACTTTGGGGCTGGAAAAAAGTTGTTCTTATTTAACGTCGAATGTAATGACCTTGTACAGTTTTCTATAACTTCGAATAGGATTAAACTTTCATAGCATGTTCCTCCACTCGTAACATGGATATAGCATTAGCACAAATGAGTGAGAGAATTCAAGAGTTGAGCTAAAGATTTTATATTAGATCGTGTTTCACAAAAGATAAATATTCAAAGAAGAAAATAAATTTTAGCAACGTTCGATGTTGTAGTTATACGAATAATTGGTTCTATATCTTTTTGAGATTTTCGATTTGAATAAATTGATTTTCAGAATTTTTAATATTCTTTTTTAATTTAATTATTTTTCCATCCAAATTTAACCTATATTCATTATTAGTAAAAAGTTTTAAAAGTATTGTTAGACTATCTGATGTGATAAATATGTTAATCTAATTAAATATAAGATTTTCAAGACCAAAGAAGAAAAAAAAGAATTATTGAAGAAAAATATGTTTTACAGATAGAATTAATTGCTTGTAAACGATATTGTTCATCATTAAAGATAGAAAAAACGAATTGAAGAGTATTCGAATTGAATTGTAAATTATTAAGATGAGATTTAAATGTAATAAACATTTATAATCGATCAATATCATTATCAAGTTGATGTAATTTTTGACATAATATATCAACTACTGAAATATTCTTATTTATCATTATTTAAAGCATATTTTTAAACAAAAGAGTGATCAAAAAAGCTTGTTCGCGCAGCCCCTTTTGGGACTGAAATATGGAATTTACATATGCTCTCTAGCCGCATTCAACTAGAGTAGTGTCACATATCCAAGATTTTGGAGATGCCACCGCATCTCCCGCGGGATATGCCGCATGTCCAGCGGGAGACGCGGCACCCACACTCGGGAGATGAGGTCATTCACCACTGGAGATGTAAGATCTCCTTTAGAGAGACGCATCCCCCACACCGACACTCGCATCTCTCGCGCGAGATGCGGCATCTCCCGCAGGAGATGTGGTGGCATCTCCAAAATCTTGGATATGTGACACTGCTGACAAATAGAGCTCAACGAATAGTCCATGAACGAGACTTAGAGGTTTTATATTCAAGTGTATCGTTGTTTTTGCTTAATATTTTTGTGTTAATCATTTCTAGTTAAAGTTTTTTACGCGAGGAAAATTGTTTTTTTTGAGCTCATATTACTAAATATTTCTTTATTACTATGTTTTTTAAAATTATTATTTATTCTCTAACTTCATCGGTTTACTATAAGAAAATATAACATTACAGAGAAATTAACATAAGTACTATCTATAAAGGACGACTAGGAAAAGCANGCAAGATTATTCTCACTTAGCTTATTATCATTTTGGGATATTCCAGGATGGGAATATTCCTTCTCTTTATCACCTTCTATAGTACTATGACCTGTAAGGTCCTAAAGGTCATAGATTATCTCATTTCCCAACTGGTACATATCTTTTCTCTCTAGATCCCTCTCCTTTCTTCTACCTTCGTATATGACGTCATGTTTTTCCTTTGCTTATTCCACAAACATTGCAATCAAAACAGTCTCTAAGAAAAAATGCGGTTTGCACATCCCATAATGTTCGATGTGATACACAGTATATGTATGTTGACTGCCATGTGCCTCTATGTATTGTTGATTGCTTTAAAGACTCATACAAAAATGAACTACTAATACTTCTTTGACACAGAAATGCAATTTCTTTCAAAAAATAACTAAAAACCATATTTAAACATTTCGTATAAAAATTTGGATTTTCACAAAAAGAAACCGGGAGCCAAAGGGTTAAGTATTTACCTCAAATGCAAATTGTGGTTCGAATGGTCAATGAAGTTCTCTATCAAATGCATTTCATACTAAAATTCTATAGATAGACTATGATAGGAAGATTTCAAATTCCAGACATAAATTTCACTTCTTTTTTTCATGTTTTGTGATGCTTAGAAATTTTTTCAGCGATGCTTGTAGAAAATGTAGCAACTTCTCATTTTATTCAGGCTTTTGTGCTCTTGAGGGTGGTACTCTTGAAAAGTAATTGTCACACAGCTTCCTGTGACTTGTGAGTGATTGAAAAAAAACAAAATACACTCAAATTATGGATAACATTAATCTTAACTTGGTGGAATAGTTCACTATAGACATAAAAAATTTCATTAAACATAAAATCATTCAATTATAAACAATGATGTTGTTGGAGTTCAAACGGACTTGTGTTTTTACCGACAGATTGACAAAACAATAGAAGTTCATCTTTCTAATACAATAAGATCCACGCAAAAAAAAAAACAAGGACACTTTATTGTTAATTATCATGGAGAGCGTCTATCAGCAGACCTTTCAAGTATTTAGTATCACATTCTACTTTTTAAATATCTTAAATAGTGAGTCAATCATTCAATTTCCTTTTGAATCATGTCTAGTTTCAATAAACTTCACCACTGAAGTCTATTCTCTTTCTTCGTTGGATATTTTTTTCGCTTGTCATCATTACATTTGTTGACTATGTAAGCGCGGATCTTATAGCACAACTACACAAATCGGCATCCGTTAAAATTGAAACTCCAAAAAAAAAAAAGACGGATCCACTTCAGGAGCCAAAGGGGTCCACTATAAGATTTTTCGAGTGAAAACTATTCAGTTTTAGGTAACACATGATGCAGCGTCGCTTGATAATGCTTTTACATGAGATAGAAAAATCTCTAACGAAGGAACACTCCTAAGTGATCCACTTCGTTTGCTTTTATATTTTACCAACCAAAGATCTTGACAGTACGATAACCAAAAATGATGCAAATTTAAATATGAGATAGCTTAATCAAGATCTTCATGTGCACAAAGTTTCAGGACAGACTCCCCAAATAGATTTTTTTTTTTGAAAATTAGACTTCTGCAGAATGAATCTAAGCAAGAACAGAAAAACTTTGAAAGTTATTCTATTCTAGTGATCTCCTATATATTAGGAAGATATGGAAGCAAATAGAGTTCAAGACTTGAGAATGTTTCCTCATCAGTACGTGCAATCTTTTTCAATATTTGCATACTGTTGAGTCTTCTCGTTAGTCAACCGATATCGATGTTCATTTGTGAACGACCTGTCAGTTGATGAGAAGATGACGACAAAAAAAATGCTTAAATTTCTTCACTCAAACAACGAACTACAACGATATATTTAGACCTTAGAAGCAAATAAGCTGATTCGATAGAAGAAGTATGATACTTAACACTATCTGTTTCCTCAATTAACTTAATAAGACGTTGGCAATGCTACTTTTAGGAGACAACATGAATTTGATATTGATCCTAGATATACTTTTATGAAAGAGTGTTTCAAGTGAAAACAGAAAAAAGCTACATAAGAGAGCGTTGGAAACCAGTCATTTTCAATAAAAACGAAATCATCTTCGAAGTAAAATGTGACAATCGAGACTTTCAACAACCAGCCAGTATAATATAACTGTATATGTCAACTCTCAAGCTGAGCGAGTAATTTAAGGATGTTATTTTACATATAAAACAGGTTCATGTAAATTTGGTTGCTGCACACACATACCACTCTTTTCTAGCACCTAGATATTTCAAATATTTTGCAAATTTTCTTTTTTCGTCAAAAAACTCACTTCTGGTCTCCCGTAGAGTCGCATATAAAAAAATGAGTTTTTTTGTAAAAACTCTACTTTTATCATTTTTGCATCTGCTATTTGAAGGTTTACTATTATTTTATAAAATTAGAACATGATTTTTAAGGTCAGACTAATTTTTTGATGAAAAAAAAAACTTAAGTCTACTCAAGTTGTGATACTAATTCAATATATCGTGGATTAGTTTCCACCGAATCACAATTTTCCTATCAAAATGTACTAAATACCAGAGAATGGACTTACAGTCTTGTCTCGAGAACAGTGTCCTTCGAGCTTTTTTTAGTGTGACCGGTATTTTTTCCTTGGTATTTTTATACAATTTACAACCTATTGAAAGCGCTATCAAACCATATGAAAATTAGACTGGTCACTCATGAAATGGGTAGACAAAAAGTGACAACTATCATCATCAGTCAGGTTCAATTTTCATACACGTGACGGTCATTGTCTATTTCCATTGATCTGTGCACAGTACAAATAAACGCTATATGTCTAATCCTACCAGAATCCACTTTCGGACACCTTCTATAATAGTTTAGCACAGAAGAAATCAAAATTCTCGAGACGTCCAATTGTGTATGAAAAACTGAAATTTTTTTACTTAATAGAATAGCTACTGCCCTGAGACGATACAAATATTAAAGAACTACTAAACAAACTATTTATCACATTATATTCATCTTTCCTTGTCGTCTTCAGATTCAAGTGGGCTCATTTGATAGTTTTTCATGTAGTGCTACATTATCATTTCCTGCTTCGAATTATTCTTCTTCCCTAATCCCTTGTCTTTCATTGTTGAATAATACCCTCATCATTAATAATGAATAGATCTAAGAATGGAAAAATAAAGTTATGATTCTGCATAGATTTTACAACAGCTACTTTGTTACAAGCAAAAGTTTTCATTTCACTGAAACTGTTGTCTATTGTCTTACAATTGCTTTTCAAATAGATTCGTTTTATTCATTCGAAATTGGAATGAAGAATTTACTCTTATATTAGAGCAGGACATTTTTGGGCAAATTGGAAAGCCTCAAGAAGTTTAGAAATATTTGATAATATTAATAACTTGTTTATCAAGATATCTTGTCTATCGTAAACTCATAATATTATTGTCCAAGAAAATGCTAAATTTATGATTTGTCCTCAGTTATATTTCAACGTTGCTGCGAAAGCAATGAAAGACAAACTGTTTTCGATATTATATATCGTCATGGAAAATAATGTGTCAATTGTTCGAAAAAGAATATTCAGATTTTCTCTTTCAGAATGGCAATTCAAAGCTATTGGAAGACGAGTACTTAACGTTAGCGGCATATTCACATAGTGCATACTACAACAACCGCAAACTTCGGAAAAGTCGACTTGATTCTCATAGAAGTGCTGCTTGTAGCATATAAATGAATAATTCGAAATAAAGAAAGCCATTGATTTTTTTAGTAATATTCTATGGAAACGTTCAAACTACATCGAACAAGAACTCGATGATAATTGATAGAAATTAGTTTTTTCGACGAACGAACCATCATAGATAAAATGAAAAGCTTGATACATAGAAAGATTATTTCTTTCACTCGAACAATCAATTTTCTTTTCGAAAGTTGTGATGCACTAAAGTGTTTGAATCATATATTAAATTACGCAGAATGAATTTTTTTCGAATGTATTTGTTTCTATTGCATAACTAATACAAATTTTGTCAAGATTTATGAGAATAGATTATTACTCTTTTCTATCATGTCAAGTATTGTTTAATAAAAAAAAACAGAAATCTATGAACAGTTGAATTCCTTCTTCAACGACATTTCCACTCAAGTAGAATTTTAAAGACTTACGATAGATATGACAACAAATCAAATATTTGAAATATATGGTTATCGATCATTCAGTTGTAATATGAATACCTGTAAAGTCGTCGATTTCTCGAGAATATTGGTAACAAGAACATCCGAATACTGTAAGAGAAAGGTCTAATCTAAACACGTAGGATGTGGGTGTGAATTTCATGATCTGTTTCTCCCACACTCTCAACAGTTATTGATTCCGTGATACAGTACTACGATTAAATTAGAGGCATAGAAATACAGCTCATATGAATAGAATTGAGCCATTGAACAAATATTATCCATTCAATAGCATTTTATCACAATTTAGATTTAGACAAAAGTTCTGTTTTCTAATTATACTCAATAGGCATTTCTGATTACATTGTATCATTTACTTTCAATTAAAAAAGAATTTTAAAATTAAATATTATTGTTAAAGCTTGCTCTATCATCATTTTCTCCATAGGTTCATGAAAATACTTATGTTCGTAAGACAAGATTTATTGAATCTATTATCTTTGTTTTTGTTTATATTTTCCCCAAAAAATTTTTTTTTAACATCTTCATAAAAAAATAATTCACTCAAAACGTAATCAATCAGTGGAAGTTATCAATTATTTCATCACTCGATTCCGATGATATAATCGAACTAGAGTCTTCAACAATATCAAGTAAATCAATAAATGTTGGTGTTGTATCACCACTACCATCATTCATATTTAAATGGCGTTCAACAATATTAATAGCTGTTTGTGTTATTTGATCAGTGCTTTGTTGTATTGTGTTATTTGGTAATTCATCAGAAAAATCAATATTTAAATCGAGTGTATTTGATGTTTCAATAGATGAATAATTTTCATTAAAAGCTGGTCGTCGAATGACTGAATTAGCTTGTGCTTCAATTTTATCGAGAACTGAATCAATATTATCAAGAATTGAATGAATTTGTGTTACCATCATTGATTGAATGGGTATAGATGATTGACGAATAATTGGCTGTTCTACAAGTGTTATTGGTGATGGTGGTGGTGATTTAGTAATTAGTGATGTATAACTTTGTGATGTTGATAAAGACATTGATGTTGGTTGAAATTGTAAATCATCATCATCAATAGGATGAAATTTTTTTCGTTCAATATTATCTGTTATAGAATGAACTTCATTAATCAATCGTTTATTTGGTAATTCTTGATTAAGAGAAGATGATGATGAACCACCACCAAACACACGACATACAAATTGTTTAGCTTTTTCAAATACTCCTGATGTATTTGATACAACCTTGAAACAAAAACGTTGTTAGTATAATTTCTGTAGAACTAAAATGTGAAACACGATATAACTATTATTGCTAATGACAGGAAGATCGTTTTAATCTATCTATTTTAGAGCACATTTTTTCACTATCCTTTTATTTGATTCTCTAAAAAAGCAATATGTTATAATGAGGTTTTATTGGTATACAATCTGTGATGATTCGTTGCTAAGATGTCTATGTCGAAGGCACTGTGGGCATGAAAGTGGCCATTTCGTAGGAAAATGAAAGTGTACTTTTCGATGAATAAAATAGAACAACATATACTCTGATCTATGAGCAATTCAAAAACATGAAAGCCTTTGTTCTCTATTGATTCGTAAAAAAAATACTTTTTCCTTTTATCTGTTTGGGATTCGAAAAAAGGTGTTCTTCTTGAACGTCGAGTGTAATGAACTTGCACAATTTTCTATAACTCTGAATAGGATAAAACTTTCACAGCAGGTTCCTCCACCCAGAACATCAATATAGCATGACCACAAATCAGTGAGAGCGTTGAAGGGTTGAGCTAAAGGTTTTAATATTAGATCGTGTTTCACAAAAGATAAATATTTAAAGAAGAAAACAAACTTTAGCAACATTAGATGTTGTAGTTATAGAAATAGTTGGTTCTATATCTTTTGAATTTTCGATTTGAATAAATTGATTTTCAGGATTTTTAATATTTTCTTTTGATTTAATTTTTTTCGCATGAAAATATTGACGATATTCATTATGTAATATGTCATTGACTTCTTTGTTTGTTTTTAATGGTCTAGAGATAAAAGATTTCTTGTTTTTATTTTTGTAAAATGTTTATTGCAATATTAAATACAACATACTCGCAATTTTTAAGTGTTTCAATTAAATTTAATCGATATTCATTATTAGTAAAAAGTTCTAAAAGTATTGTTAGACTATCTGATGTGATAAATGTGTGAATCTAATTAAATATAAGATTTTCAAGACCAAAGAAAAAAAAAAAGAAGGAATTATTGAAGAAAAATATGTTTTACAGATGGAATTAATTGATTAATTGCTTGTAAACGATATTGTTCATCATTAAAGATAGAAAAAAAGAATTGAAGAGTATTTGGATTGAATTGTAAATTATTAAGATGAGATTTAAGTGTAATAAGCATTTGTAATCGATCAATATCATTATCAAGTCGATGTAATTCTCGACATAATATATCAACTGGTGAAATGTTCTTATTTATCATTATTTAAAGCATATTTTCAAACAAAAGAGTGATCAAAAAACACTAAAAGTATTTTTAAATTTTCTTCCGCAAAATTTTATTTCGTAAAAATAAAAGCGCCAAATAGAATAACATTTATTAATATTGAAATCAAGTTTACGTTAAGAAATGTGTATCATAATGGTATGATTGAAAATATTTCGACTAAAGTTCCATACAAAAATGACGAAATAGTTACGAATATTGGTCGGAAAAATAAATTGGTATTACTTATTCATTGATTATTTGCGATTGATCAATCAGTTGCGAAGGCATCTTTTATAAAAAAAAATATTATTTTCGAATGGAAGTCCGTAATATTATCAACTTACAGCTTTCTCCTTTTAATTTATTCCACAAATAGAACTCAACGATTATTCGGTGAACGAGACATATAGGTTTTATATTCAAGTGTATCGTTGCTTTTGCTTAATATTTTTGTATTAGTCATTTCCAGTTAAAATTTTTTACACGAGGAAAATTTTTTTTTCTGACAATGGAAGGGTTTGAACTGTTGAGTGAAAAGATTGCTCATATTCAGGTCAAAAGAAAGCTTTCAACGAGAAACTAACGAATTAAAAATATGAGCTGCTTATAGTATGCCTGAACAGAGAGATATTCCATTTTTAAGTTATGTATTATTAGGGTATAGAAGCTTGATAATAGATGAACTATTCACATCAACCTTTTAATACAATGGCGATGTGTCTGTCTCTCTTCTTCACAAACATTCACACTCACACTATCAATACGTACGCAAGAAATTCAGTTAAATACTATCGATAATCTTCAACAATTGGCTGTATGAGATACTGAAAAGCAGATAAACATCGATGTTAAGTTAATTTAAGACTTTATTTCTAAGGGAAGGGAATTTTATCGATCATTAAAAGATACAAATAAACGAAAGGTTTATTTAACATGTTTTCTACTGTAAAACAGAGAACTTTTCTAGATTATTTGTTTTTATGATATAGATCCAAAAAAGATTTCAAAATGATTTTGTACTGATGAGATATCTCAAGTAAATACGTTCATTGCTTTATTATTCTCTACATATATAATGTTTGTTTAATAAGATGAACGCCATATTTCAGTTATTCATTTTACATAAGCCATACCTTCATTTATTATCTGTTTTTAGGGTTTAACGAATAATGATTTTTAAACTAATCTTTCTTTAATGAATATACGTGAAAATATTGATTATTGACTTTTTAGTTAATAAATAAGTAAAAAGAATTCAGTCAATCAAATAAATCTTTCTTTTTTCTAATCAAAATAATCAAACAGTTGTATTCTTTCTAGCATCTTGTTTTGAAAGTATTGATATCCATTCAAAAGTATAAAAGAGAAAAGCTGTTTAGAAATAAAGAAAAGTTAGTTGATGCGTGTTTATACACGTCAACAAAAAGAAAGAATAGAAAGATAAAATCTAAAGATATCTAATGACTAGACATCGGCGTGACCGCCGCGACTCACGATCGTGACTAGTTTCTTTTGAAAAGTCGTGACCGTGACCGGAGGCTGGTTACGGCTGGTCACGATAAATTTTCAATATGGTCATATAATGGCTATTTTTCTAATCTCATGCGAGAATTCAATCAATTGCAACAAATTTTCTTTGGAGAGTTCTTTTCGAGAATGCTTAAATTCTACAATCAATCTAAAAATTAGATATATTTTGTTATATCTGATTGTAAATCCCTTTCTTTTCTTTTTTTCACACCACCAATAGCCATTATGTTATAATTTTCATAAATAGAAACAACATTTACTCAGTGTTTTATGACCTCGTCTACACTAAAAAAAATAATATGGAAGTGACTTCATATTAAAATGATGGATGTTTCCACTTATAAGTTAATGCATCAATCAAAGTGTATAATGAAGTATCACTTTGTCAAGTTCAAGTAGAGCACACAAATCGAACCTAATTTTGAATGGCAATTTAACTTTAATGCAGTTTTAAAAAGTGTATTAACTTAATAGACTTTTAGAACAATGTTGAATCTATGATTTTGGAAGGGGATGAAATCACACGCAAAAGACATTTTGACATGCATTCAAAATAGTATGAAGGTGTTTTTCGTTCGTTTTTGCTGGATAAAATCGAAAAAATCTTCTCGAATGAAGTGCAATTGTCCTGTTGCACTCCCCTCACTGTTTCGAAACGGAATTAAATAAATATTCGTTTTCGTAGTGTCAGTGGAGGATCTAGGATTTTCAACGACGAGGACGATTTTGGGTAAAAACCCCTTTTTCGTTTGTTTTTTCGAGACAAACTGGAGAAATTGTCTCGAAAGGGAGGGGGCGATTGCCCTATTACTTCCCTCCTAAGCCCATCGCTGCATGGTGTAAAACAGGCCTATCTGTATAATACATATGTAGACAGACGACAGAAAGATATCATACTTATACAAACCATAGAATTTCCGTGACTCACGGTCATGGTCACGATCATAGCACGACCGTGACCGTGCGTGACCATTACCAAACTTGTCGTGACCGTGACCAAAAATTGTTGGTCACCCCGATGTCTACTAATGACACTGAATAAAAGAAGATTATTTCCAAGTTATAACATAACTTTACTACAGGAAGTTTGTATGCGAAAGTATGATATGGTTCAATGACCAAGGATATATCGTTATTCTTACGTGATGAAACAAACAAAATTATTGGATTTATCAAAAGAAACTTTTTCCATTTATTTTCCAACATTTAAAATCGATGAGTTTGGCACAAGCATTTTTCAAAGTACAATCTCTTCGAATTCAAACACTTATTCAACCTTTTGTTTCACATCTTGATATTTCTGATGAAACTGATCAATGGATTCAAACTTATTTACGAGATCTATTTGCTGAACAAAATATTGTTACACTTCATTTACAAAATAAACATATCGCTGTTGTCAGTAAATATTTATTATCGATTGATATTCAATCTATGCATGTAGTTAGTTCAGATTGGACTACTGATATATTAAAAGAAGAAATTGGTCATCTTCGTCAAAGTTTAAAATAGCTTTCGATTACATTTACATATCTCCATGGAAAACGAGACATAGCTAATCATTTATTTGAATCTGATTCTCCACTTGAAAGTCTCAGTATTACTGATCGTTTTTTATATTTATGGGTGTGGGTGTGGCAAGCTGCCATGACACGTGTTGGGTGTTTGGCAGGTATCACGCCTGGTGCGAGTTCCCTTTGTAAGGAGAACATCCAAGTGTCGGCGAGGAAAGTTATGATCCGAAGATCACCACTACTGACATTACGTGATAACACATATTTCACATTTTTATATCCCATGTGAAAAGAGTAACCAGAATGGTATACGAACCCACAACCTATGGATTACCCGTCCATATACTCTACCAACTGAGCTACCCGGTCAATCGCAACTCATGTTATATTTTCATGTGAACATGTATTATCATTAAGGCAGTCCTACAATACTGTCACACATGATTATTTTCTACAGTGTTTTTTCGGTATAGGTATGTGACCTACGACCGTGTAACCAGTTGCTACTAGAGTGGGTGTGAGTGTCGGTAGAAATATATTCCCACCGACATCCACGCTCACAACCCAGATCCAAACCCGCACCCTCCCAAAGGGTGTGGGTGTGGGTGTGGGTGTGGTGTGTGGGTAGGTGTGGATGTGGGTGTGGGCGTGTGAGTAAAAAGAGAAATGATGCCCACACTCACAGCCACCCACACCCACATCCACACCCACTCACACCCACCCTTGTGACTTGTATTTCTATCCGATAACATGCAGATAGTGTTGTAACGATTTCTGATGTAGTAGACGCTGTATAAGAGTTATTCAACGAATACTTTATTAGTATATCAAGAACCGTCCCGCACTGTATTTTTCTCGTTCCTTATATACCAACTCCTGGCATTTGAGGACCTTGAAAGATACGGTGAAAACAATATGAGGTGTAAGGACAAATTCAAAGGTTACAATTAATAACACGATGTGTGAGGGAATGGCACACGAAGAATCCCATTCCAAAGTGCACGAACAGAAAAGATCATGACTATGTACGAGTGAAGGACGAATTGATAGTGCGCTTCCAAAGTGTAAATAGAAGAAGCAAGAGATCAAAGTGCAGAGAGATGTGGATGAATAACAGATAGACGAGTGCATCACAAACAATACGCTACAAGTTCGGTTGGGTTGTTACAAGTGTGCACTGCTTGTTCCTTATTTTTCATTGTTTTTTAGACTGTTGCCGCATAAGATGATTATTTATTGTACAATGTAGACATTAATGTAATGAATACAATAAGATTTACAATGAGCACTTCAACAGTTTTTTCACCAGTCATTTGAAGAAAGTACTATCCTTCGTCACTGGTGCATTGGATTNAAGTTATTTGACTGAGGTGAATATGAATGTAGCCTGAAAAATGATTCCAGCTATTGGCATTGTGTTTAAAAACAATAGTAAACTTGTCATATTAAAAAATTTCGAAGACATAACTATGTACAGCACTAAAAAATCTTTTTTTTCTCCAGCCGTTCTAAAAGTAGTATAGTGAAGTCAATTATTCTGCTATAATGCATAGACATGTTTAGAATTATGTGCAAAATATCAGACCTGTAGACTTTAAAAAAATTTCTTTCAGATCAGCCATACGTCATTGTTTAAATGACTCACGAGACCAGTTTTGAACTAGGATTTTATATGAATAGAAAACTGCTTCAACATACATGTAATGTTATGTTCTTTTAGTACAGGCACGTTGGAATCTAAAATATTTAGACTTCATGAATTTCACCCGAAGAAATTCATGTTATCTGTTCAATTTGGTCTTCAGCTGCTGTTAACATAGATACCATTACTTCGATGGGCATGCAAATTAATAGAAAACACTCGAAGCATAATTTCCCTACCAATTATTTCTATTCTTTTAAAGTTCCATGATGTTTTTATGTTCGATATACCAGTTTTAATCTGGTGATCGATCATACTTATATAATTGACATCGAGAATAAGAAGCGTAGTCGAAGGTCATCGAAACCATAGTTCAGATAAGTTCATCACACCATTTTATCTACAGAATACAGTCTAACGAAGTTCATTCTATTGGAATCAAGTAGACAGAATTTAACTTGTCAATAGCTGCTTAACACAAGTTTTCAAAATGCACTATAAGAAAAATAAAAGATCGATCTCTAAGGTCTCAATTTTCACTATGAAAACACGAAGCTATGAGTACTCTAGATTCTCAAGATATTAGACTCATCAAATCATATGCAAGGATATGTTGATCGAGCATATTTCACAGATCGACATCCCTGTGATTCCTTTCTATTCCTAAAGGTGAAATATTAACTACACAAAAATTAACTCAATGGCAACAGTCCAATGTTACACGTGCTTTAAGAAAACATTCATGACTTCTCAAACAGTTATCTTAAATTACAGAATTATGAACGATTTTAATCCAATGCACCAGTGACGAAGGATAGTACTTTCTTCAAATGACTGGTGAAAAAACTGTTGAAGTGCTCATTGTAAATCTTATTGTATTCATTACATTAATGTCTACATTGTACAATAAATAATCATTTTATGCGGCAACAGTCTAAAAAACAATGAAAAATAAGGAACAAGCAGTGCACATTATCTGCATGTTATCGGATAGAAATACAAGTCATAATATAAATAGCAGTCTGCAAGATATTTTTTTTCTAGGAAATATGACTCTTTTGGAAAGAATCGTTATTTTTTCCGACAATATAAGAATACAGAAAAAAATATTTGAAAAATAAGACATTCTACATTGGATTTAAAAGCCATAAAAAAATATACGAAATACTACAAAGCCAATTCGTTGTGGAAATGATGCTTCATTATAACCAAATGTATTCAGCATCAATTCTATAAAGAAAAAATAGAAAAGCTTTTTCTTTTTTATAACAGCTCCTCGTATAAATGATAAGTCATTGTTGAAGCAGATGTTACAGATGAACTTCGTCGAGATGATGATATATTATACAGAGCTGGTACTACAATAGGTACCGATGATGATGATAAATTTGTAGCTGCTATTGATGATGACAATGTAACTGATTTCTTTTTAACTCTTCTTTTCCAAATAAAAAAAATCACTAAACTAACAATAACAGCAAATAAGGCACCACCGAGAATACCAGCTACGATTGCAGCAATATTAATCTGCGATGTAGATAATTCTGAAACTAATGTTGTTACTCGATCTATCAAACAAAGAAAATTATAAATCTCTATATTGAAATACAGAATCTCTTACCTGCACATGTAGGTCCAACGAACCCAGCATAACAAACACATGTTTCATTTATGCATCTATGAGTGTGTAATTCAACACATACATCACATTCTTCCGAAGCTTTAATGATAAAAAGATTATTAAAAAAAAACCACAAATACATTTTAAAAGTAATTGACTATATATACTAACTTCAACTCAATTTACTGAGTATATGTTTTCAAATAGTAAAAACTGATATCTGAACAAGGATTATATAGAATAATCGACAGTTTATGTGCAGTAAATTAAAGAATTCTTCTTTTTAAGAATTTTATTACTACTCTTAACGTTGGCTAAAAGAGCTGAGAGCAAAAATTTGAGAAGAGATAAAGAGTGCCTCTTTGAAATTACAACTTGTTTTAATACAGTCATGACCTATTAAACGACATTGAAGACGTTTCAATAGATCCCGATAGTTCTCAAGCAATTTTTTCATGAGCAAATACCTCACTCACAAAAAAAAAAGAATTCTTTAAAATTAATTAAACATTTTTCAGAATATAGTTAAATCTGGTTTAATTTCGTTCCTACTCACTTTTCATGAAAAGTGCCATGACGTCGATGGAAAATTGGCATTAAAAGAAAATCAATGCTTGCCTTTTTTTTTTTTTAATGTTTCTTCACAACTGAATTTTTGATGAAGAACATAATGAAACATTTCATCAAAACTACTAAAAAACAATTTTTTTGAAAAAACAAAGAGGTTGTGTCAGAAATTAACTCTCATTACTCTGCTTATAATAGTCAAAAAATAAAAACGAAAACTCATTTTAAATTTTCTCTACTTTATTCTGACATACTTTTGTTCATCTACAGATTTCATACTAATGAATAATCTAATTAAAATTATTGTGTTTTTGTTCAAAATTGATATTTTCATCACTTTTTTCTTTAACATCATAGTTAGAAGACACATTTTAAATCTATGGACTTTGTGTTAAGTGTTTTTGAGTACTTATATTTTGTTTTGTTTTTTTGTAAAGCAAAAAAAGAACTAAATTGGTTAATCAAAATATTCAATATGAAACTATGCTGATATATAAATATATAATCAAAAAATTGGTTTGCATTTTTTATTAAAAGTACTTCCTTGAAAGTCATTCTAGAATGCTATACAAAATATTTTGAAAGAGACGAAAAGAGCGACACCTTTTATGCATTGAACAAAAAAAAAAGCACAGCAAAAAAAAGAACAATGCCGTGACCCGGGATCGAACCAGGGACCTTCAGATCTTCAGTCTGACGCTCTCCCAACTGAGCTATCCCGGCAAAATACGAGTTATTTAAATCTGTATTTATGCTTTTATTGTTTTATTTTTCTACAAATATAAACATGATTATGATTCAGTTCTTTCAATATAATCTTTAAATAAATTTCGTTTTTGTTGTCTTTCATAATAAGCTTGTTGAGCAATCTCTAATACATCTCCAACGGTTCGTTTTTCACATAATCGATGTATTCTTTCAATTCTTGTTTCTTCTGCTTGTCGTTTTTTTTCCTGTGCTATTGGCATATCTATTGATAAATCATTTTCTTTTGTATTTGTTAATTTTTGATCTTTTTCATTTTCTTTTTTCTTTTTTTTACCACTTAAACCAACACCCATTTCAATTTGTTCATCATCAAATGTTTGTGTTTTTTCATCATTAATACGTCGAACTTTAACTGTTGTATTTGATTGAATAGATTTTGGTAATTCATCAATAATTATTTCATCTTGATCATGTTCATGTTGAGTAGATTGAGTATGTTTTTCACGTGCACGTACATACATATTATCATTTGAAGAATTTATTTCCATTTGATCATCATCATTTGTTATTCGTGTACGAAGTTGACGAGCTTGACGATTGTTTGAAGATTCTAAAATTAAAAAAAAACCAGGAAATTTCCAAAAAGAAAAATTGAATGAATATATATTGTACCTTTTTGAATACTATCTGATGGTTCATTTTTTACTTTTTGACTTTCTTCAAGAATAGTTATATCACCTAAAAAATAAAACATAAAAAAAAAAGAAATGAATTTCTTTATTTTTTCAAAAATTAAAAATTAACCTGTTCGAACTTTAAATTGAAATCGATAAAATGCATCCATATTATCTTGTTCTAAGACATTTAATAAAGCTTCACGTTTATTTTCAAGTTTTTCACGTTCTAAATCAGCTTGTCGTTCAGCTAATTTAGCTTTATATGCTGCTGTAACAAATACTTCTTTATCTGCATAAAGATCACCTTCTTGTTCACGTTCACGTTGTATACGTCGTTCTAAAACTCTTTCAAATTCTTTTTCACGTTCTTTACTTTTTTCCAGAAGTCCTGTAACATATTTTGGTTGTCGTAATGTATTTGATTCACGTTCAAGACGTTTTTTTTCTTCACGTTTTTGTTCTTGTTGAACTGTTGAACTAACTTGTTCGTAAACTTCATCATATGCATATATATTTGGATCTTGTTCAAGTGCTTCTTCAATATCACGTTGTGCTTTTGGATTAAGTGCAAGACGAGATGATGATGGAGGTTTATTGTTTTTTGTTGATGAAGTTGTTGATTCTATATCATCATCATCATCAAGAGAAAATGCAGCAGCTGCTAAACAACTTTTATTTATTGAAGTTAATATTGTTGTTGTTGTTTTTGGTTTTGGTTTACTAGGAAATGATAAACCAAATGGTCGTTTTGAAGAAGATAAATTATCGTCAGTAGACATAATCTACAAAATTAATAAATCATTTATGTAGAAGTTATAAAATCAAAATTTCTTTCATTACTTTCTTTTTTAATATTTCATAAAAAAAAATACTATTATTCTGTCTATCATAATTGTTTCGATTTTCATTTAGCTGCTTATTTTATGAGATTTTTTTAAAATAAAAATCATGTCATAATTATTATCGAATAAATTGGTTTGACACTGAATGATATCTCAAGAGTCTCTCAAAGTCATCAGGATTAGCTGACAATGGTTCAGAAGATTAGCTTAATGATATTAAAAGGGATCACTGTTGCATTGCAAATAGTGTTCCATTTTTCTGTTGTCGAAATTTTAAATAACGCATCACTCTCACCTATACTTTGTTCCTTGGATGAATGTCAATTCAAATGTTCTTCTGTATTTATTACGAAACATCTACTATAAAAATACTTTTATTTATTGCTAAAATTTCATAATAAGTTACGTTCTATTCATGTTATTCACATTTGACAATTGCTTAATCCAACTAAAATCATTATAAAAGACCTCTCACGAATTTCTTTTATATCAGCGCCATCTTACTCTTCGTTAATGTTTAATAAATACAAAAGATTTTATTTCTTTTTTTTTCTCTATAAATAATAAAATCTATTCTATTCAAAAAAAAAAATATTTAAAATAATATAACAAAAAATCAAAATGAATAAAGTTTATTGCTTAGGATCAACTTCGATCATGGCAATGAACTGACGAATCATGAAATATTTAATTGAAACAAAGAATGCCTGTTGGACAAAACTTCTGTTTTTTTTTTTTCTTCTTTTTTTAATACGTTGTACATAATTTCTCATGATTTTTTAATATCTCATATTGAGTCATAGTGGACAAACAATATATGATTCATAATAAATAGAATATTAATATTTACATATTCATTTATTAAAACATATTTGATTCATTGAAAATTTATACTGATAATCAAACAATGTTAGATGATGAACGATTTACAAATAATAAACATCATTTATTTGATTCTCAATCATTACAAACAATTCAAAGAAAAATTAGTAAACAAAAAACTGCTGCAGGTAAACATTCATATCAAGAATTTAATAATATTTTTATTAAATAATGATCGTAAATATTCGAATAATTATTTTTTACTTCAAAAAATATACATATTTAATATTTATGATGCTCTCAAATGGTGTTTTAGATGTTGAGATAGAAGAGTAGTTCATTAAGAATTTTAAGATAAAAATTCTTAAAATTCATCGATTTAAAATTTGCACTATATTCTACGAGTAAACTGATCAAGGTAATCATCTCATAACTTGAAAAATTGATCGTTAGCGTAGATTATTTTAAGCTTGAAATTACGCGCAAACATTCTTAAGTACCGCTACATTTTTAAATCGAGGCTTGGTGCATCTTGAAAATGTTCCGTTATTAGTAATGCAGAAAGACTATCGTTTTAGTAATTTTAATCTCGTAGGTTTTTTTTTTATTTATTTTGTGAATTAAATCAATGTAAGAACTTTTTGAAGGCTCTTGGTATTTACATAATATTTATTAGAATTAATAAAAAGATAAAATTCAAAATGAATTAAGTTCAAAATTTCAAATATTTGATATAATCTGCTCGTACTATAAACAATTGATTGATTTTTAGTAAAAAATTAAAATTAAATTCTTTATTTCTATGATTCGAAAGGTTTATATAATGAATAATCGTTTATAACATAAATGTAACGGGTGTCCCAGAAAGAATGGGCCTCCCAGTATTTTGAAGATTTCGCGTCTATTATCCGTGTGATTAAAGCCCTTTTTATTATCAAACGATAGCGCTTGAAATTCTCTACAAAACCATATAAGTTAGGCCCAAAGACAGTTTTAGATATATTTGGAAAAAGAAGAAAACTAAAGACATAGAAACAGCTGTAAAAAGTAAATAACGAGTGTTCCATAATAAATGGCCGCACTTTGCATTTTATATTTTGATCTCTAAATACGTTTTATTAAAAAAACAAAATATACCACTAGACGCATTGTGAAAAGCTCTACAATCTACAAACTAAAG